CCAAAGTTTCATTTTAGATTATTTTTCCTTAAACTCAACTTGGCTTTACATGACCATCAAGTTATGTTCATGGTAGGATGAAAATAGCTTTCTTACGAAGGTTTAACAATAGCCAAAGTTTTATTTTAAAACTTGACTTTACATGTCCATCAAGTTATGTTCATAACAGGATGAAAATAGGTTGTTTACAAAGGTGTAGCAATATGGCTGACTTTATATTTTAATTAATTTTCCTTAAAATTTAACGTGAACTCAACTTAGCGTTACATGACCTGGTGAAATTTCCAAACCACCTGAACTCTAAGACAATCTCTATTAAACATGGTCAGTGAAATTTCAAACCACCTGAACTTTTAAACATGGTCAGTGGAATATCTGACCTTAACAAAACTAGAATCATTTCTACAGCTAACTCTATTTGTTAAGGCCAGCTCAATTTTCGTCAAGGTCGCGGAGATGTATATAGGGTTAGGGCACATGATTGTTGGCAAGATTGTAGGTTAGGTTTAAGAATTTGGGGGGAGAGGTTAGGATTAGGTTTGGAATTAGCACTAGCCCTGTTTACATCTCGTGACCTTTGACCAAACTTGAAGTTGGCCTTATTAAATAGACCTAACCACATTTCTACACATGGTGCATATGTTGACCACTTTTCATCAATTACAAACATATGAATGTTAATGTGATATTTACGTTTTATTTATTGGAATTGTTTTATCTTTTAGTCTATTTGATTCTCAGATCATTGTTTTCATTTATACATTCATTCTGAAAATATTGTACCACACACAACATCCATGTTGCTCTATTTCTTTAAGGGGGTTGGGTGGACGAATGGTTAGCACGTGTGCGCTGAATCATAACGTCTGTCATTATTGAGTCAACTGGCGGGGTTTCGATTCCCCGGTAGTACAGGACAAAGAGTATAGGGTCACCTGTCCAATCTCGTGGGTTTTCTCAGGGTCCTCCGGTTTCCTCCCACTGCTAAAGACCCCTACGCACAAGCGAATTATTGAAATAGTTCCGAAATGACCTAGTTTGTGTCAAGTGGAGGTTAAACCCTCCCTCCCTCTCTCTCTCTACTTCTGTCTCTCTCTCAAACTGTGCGTGTTGCATCATAAGTTCTGTCATTGAGTCAAATGGTGTGGTTTCGATTCCCTGCTTGTACTGTACGTGATGAGCAGTAGGGGGGCCTGTCCAGTCTTGTGGGTTTTCTTCGATTCTCTGGTTTCCTCCCACTGGTAAAGACCCCTATGCGCAAGAGAATTTATTGAAATAAAATTGAACCATATTTTAGTCCCAAAATAACCTAGTTTGTGTCGTGGATTGCACGTAAAAGATCCCTTGGCAGTTGGAATTCGATATAAGAGTAACCCATAGTGCTACTGCCCCGGCAAAATTTCCCTTGTTGCAAACTGTATAGCGTATGTTGTCTTCATTAGCCCATTTGGAGCAGAGAACAGTAGGACTTGAACCCCATTCCATTTCATCTCTCTCTCACTCTCTCTCTCTGTCTCTCTCTCTGGGGAGTTGGATGGCTGAATGGTTAGCTGTGCATGCGCTGTATCATAAAGTTTGTCATTGAGTCGACTGGCGTGGTTTCGAATCCCCGGTTGTACGTGACAAGGAGTAGGGTCGCCTGTCCAACCTCATGGGTTTTCTGCGAGTCCTCTGGTTTCCTCCCACTCCTAAAGACCCCTACGCGCAAGCGAATTATTGAAATAAAATTAAACCATATGTTAGTCCCGAAATGACCTACTTTGTGTCGAGTGGACATTAAACCCCACCTCTTTCTCTCTCTCTCTCTCTCTCTCTCTCTCTCTCTCTCTCTCTCTCTCTCATGATAATAAAGTTATGTATTCCTCATCTAGAAGACTGGTTTGTTTTATTTATTTGGCAATGTGTCATTTTGTTGTGTTATATATCGTGGTATCTTACTATTATTGTATGATGTATGGGTAAAAGAAAGGCCATAGTGTGCCTATATATAAAACATGGCATATGGCTACAACTTTCTCAGGTAGATGATAAGCATAACCTTTGTTACAGGTATATACCCCATGCTCTTTTATTTATCTTTTATTTATCTATTACTTATATTTAATTCTCCAGATAACCGTAGTCATAGGTGATTCATTTAAACATGTGCAGTTGCAAAATAATCAGCTTTGATTCAAAACAAACCTTTATAGGTGTACCATAGCAGGTGGTATTATTCAGGCTGCAATCTGAATAAAACACAGATCCTATTTAATTTCGATTTTTTTAAAGTTCAAAATTTCGTTTTACAAATTGTCTTTACTACACTAGGATCTGGAAGAGTTGTTATCATTGACGTGTTCTGGATGGTGTGAGGGATTAGCCAATGAAATGGTCTGTTACGGTGAGCTTTAGGCGTGTTTTGCACGGAACTGTGGGTGATCCAGTAGAAACATTAATGCTGATTGGTTAATCAAATGTCTGACGTCATAGGGCCAAAAGCCACTCGTATGACCTCTGACGCGACCTATCACTACAGCCGGTCAGATCTTCATGTAGTGAAGGCCATCGAAAGTATGAAAAAACGAAACGAAGTATAGATCTGTATTTTAATCAAATTGTTCATCCTGATTCATTTAAAGAGGCAATATGGGAGATTAGATAAAGAATTGACTGTTCGCGTTACAAAATAGATAATGTAAATAGAATATGTTGAAAATTTCAGGCAAATTGCTCCACTCTGGACCAAGATATTAGCTTTTGAATTTTAGACCTACATGTAGCCTCGATCATCATTATTAAAGTCGTTACGATAAAAAAAGTAGTCTCGATTGTCCATTTTTGGATTTAATCATCAATGAGCATTGAGTAGTAGATCAGATTCAAATCCAGTGAAAATCTGATACATAAGATGACATCGAGAGTTTATTATGGCCTGGATAAGATAATTAATGTATAATTAATAGTTTGCATGATGTATCTTTAAACATGTTTGTGTAGTTGCCAAATAATCGGGGGGGGGGGGTTTGGGTGGCTGAATGGTTAGCACGTGCGCGCTGTACCATAAAGTCTGTCATTGTGTCAACTGGCGTGGTTTTGAATCCCCGGTTGTACGTGGCAAGGAGTAGGGTCGCCTGTCCAACCTCGTGGGTTTTCTCCGGGTCCTCCGGTTTCCTCCCACTGCTAAAGACCCCTACGCGCAAGCGAATTATTGAAATAAAACTAAAACCATGTGTTAGTCCCGAAATGACCTAGTTTGTGTCGAGTGGACGTTAAAACCCATTTCTCTCTCTCTCTCTCTCTGCCAAATAGTCAGCTTTTATTCAAAAAGAACCTTTATAAGTTTACAACAGCAGCTGGCAGTGTTCAGGATCCGTTAGATAAATTTATTGTAATTCTCTATTGAATACATGTTTAAATATAAAACGAGATATACTCATAGCAAACTATTTTCCAAATATCGATTTAAATTCCTTATCTTTATTTTGCTGATAAACGTTATCACAATAAACTATGATATTGTCACAGATTGCGGTTAATAGATGTTTTTTTTCAACAGTTTAAAAAATTATGATGAATTATCACAGGGTGATAGAAAACATTTTTTACCCAATTACATTGTTTATTGAGCATTGTATAGTTATTGAGAGAGAGAGAGAGAGAGAGAGAGAGAGAGAGAGAGAGAGAGAGAGAGAGAGAAATCTTTAAGTGGCATTTAGCATCTGTAAACACATTAACAGAACACAGTTTTTATGGGATACAATCACTAGTTTTATTCTAAAAGCACCACGTTTCCACAAGTATCACCAGAACTTAATAGGGGCTTTACATCCCCAGGACATATGATGATGTTATTAATCTGCATAATATAATTTAACTATGGTAATTTAGCACCAAATGATGAGATATATACTGACACAAGTCTGGAAATAACAGTTTTAGTTGTACCTGACAAGCGGGTTGGCGAGGCCAAATGGTTAGCACGTGGGCATTGCATCATAAGGTCTGTCAATTTGTCAGTTAGTCAAGTGGTGTGGTTTCTCCGCTTGTACTTGACGAGGAGTAGGGTCGCCTCCAGTTTCCTCCCACTGCTGAATACCCCTACGCTCAAGCGAATTATTGAAATAAAATTGAACCATATATTAGTCCCGAAATGACCTAGTTTGTGTCAAGTGGATGTTAAAAACCAATTATTGAAATAGAATTTAACAATATTTTAGTCCCAAAATAACCTAGTTTGTGTCGTGGATTGCACGTAAAAGATCCCTTTGGCAGTTGGAATTCGATATAAGAGTAGGCCATAGTGCCGCTGCCCAGGTAAAATTTCCCTCGTTGCACACTGTATGGGAAAGTCATCTTCATTAGCCCATTTGGAGCAGAACAGTAGGACCGCAAAACCCCATTTCATTTCATCTCTCTCTCTCTCTCTATCTCTCTCTCTCTCTCTCTTTCTCTCTCACTCTCTCTTATTGAAAAAAGATGTTTATTAAGTTTATTAACCCATTGGGAGCAGAAAAGTAGGACCTTAAACCCCCTCTCTCTCTCTCTCTCTATCTCTCTCTCTCTCTCTCTATCTCTCTCTATCTCTCTCACTTTCTCTCTCTCTCTCTCTCTCCATCTCTCTCTATCTCTCTCTATTGAAAAATAAGATGTTAGTTATATTGTCCTGTTAATGTATTTGTCAGATGTTAAAGATTAAAAGTAATGCATGTCCTTAGTAATTATCTTGCTGCACTGTAACACAGTTTGCCAAATCTATTTTCTAAAGTGACACTGTGCCAATATTTTTTTTCTATTGACAACGCGTACACAAAATATAGGCCTATTAAGAAAAAATATTTATCTCGTGTAATTTAATCTATTCAGTAGAAAATATAAAAAAATTAAACATTTGAATTCTATATACAAATATATATAATAGGGCATTGTTACGAAAGTTTTGTACACACGTGTACATAGGTTTAGTAACATGCCTACATCATATAGCGTATACGGTTTCCATACATATTTATATCACTTACCCCAGTGGCATCGCGTCTCGGCTGATCTTCTTGTGATGAATCCAAAATCATTTTTCTCAATTTCTATTTTGTTTATATATATCAAAACCTGTTTTAAGACAACATATGTCTCTGATAGAAACTGTACTATAAATATTCACACAAGCACTACACAATAGGTATATACATAATTTATATATATGTATACTAGTAGATGGTGTATATCTCTCTATGATGTTCTAGTATATACTCCAATAACAGATCACTCTGACATGGGGGTTTACTCTATTGGTACAGCCGACTCAATTAACTGGCTGTGTGTTATTCCATTATATCGAAAGCTTTGAATGTTAGTAACTTTCTCTTCTGCCAATTTCTGGCTTCTTTTTAAGATTAAGTTATGACTTAAAAGAAATGGTTTTAAAGAGCAGTACTCTGCACTTAATATAAAAAGATTATAAGGTGGCCTTCTGGCCCACTCTAACATACTTTGTACATATGGTTTCCACTGAATGAGCTCTGGGATTCCCCTCCTTTGACATTTGATCCCAGCTGTTGCCAAATTTGGCTCCCTTATGAGCATTTAATCAGTTCCCTCCACCCACACCTTTCTAATGGTCTAAATTAAAGTTCTATAATCTATTTATTATTTGGAGAAAGAAAAAAAGAATTGATAATTTACCGAGCATGTATTTTCTATTAGTGTGTTCATGTTGAACATGTGTTTTCAAGTGCGTAGGCCGTGGTGAGAGGTTATTGACTGTACATACAAGTAATAGTATACTTTAAAGTAGCTAAGTCTCTAACTCAATATCATCAAAATATCGGTTCAGAGTGGATCAATTTGACTGAAATGTTCAGCATATACCCTTTACATTATCTAGGTTTTAAGGGGGGTTGGATGGAGGACCCGGAGAAAACCCACGAAGTTGGACAGGCGACCCTACTTCTTGTCACGTACAACCGGGGATTCGAAACCATGCCAGTTGACTCAATGACAGACTTTATGATACAGCGCGCACACGCACCATTCAGCCATCACACCCCCATTTATCAATTAGCACATCTAATAAACATGAAAACATAATAAGGAACACAATTGTTATTTTAATTAAAGAGACGTTTCATTGAGGGTTCTCTCAACCTTAAAGGTCACTTGAAAAGCATCATTTTTTTTTTAAATAATGCAAGTAATTATGTCAACATATCCTTTCCATAAGTATAACCCGAACCCGAACGTCAAGATTACCTGCAACAACAGGTAAATTTCAACATTAGTAATTTCCGCCGTTCTCCGTGGGTAGTCGTAACTTTCCGTCAATAAGCAATCCGTGACGTCATTTTAGTCCTTCTGCACATAGAAATATAGACTAGAATATGAGCAGAAGGACTAAAATGACGTCACAGATTGCTTATTGACGGAAAGTTACGACTACCCACGGAGAACGGCGGAAATTACTAATGTTGAAATTTACCTGGTGCAGGTAATCTTGACGTTCGGGTTCGGGTTATAGTTATGGAAAGGATATGTTGACATAATTACTTGCATTATTTAAAAAATTTATGAACCTTTTCCGGTGACCTTTAAGGTTGAGAAAACCCTTAACGAAATATTACTTTAATTAAAATAGTAATTGTGTTCCATATTATTTCATGTAGATGTATATTGTCGTTTTCCCTGTCCGTCAGGTCACAACTTTTATCCCAATTTAACGAAACTTGAAATATAGGTCTATCTCACAAAGATCTCAGTTCCTTTCGAAATGTATCTGACCATAACTTCATGGATTATGGACCCGAATCGTTTTATTTGAGCATTAATTAAATTCATGTATGTACTTACTGTAAAGCACTTTTGAACATTCTTTAAAGGGACAATAACACTCTTGACAGCTCCAGAAAATAAAAAATAGCCTTATTCTAAGTACTATATGTTAGTGTCTTACCTGTTGTGTAAATTATCCATTAAATCCTATTTTACTTGTCCAGAGGGTTCAAAAATATTTTTAAATCCAAGTCACATTTGAAAAGCTTTACGTCAGGCTTTTCAAATCCTTTAGTTGAATTTTTCCAATTTTTTAAATTAGGTGTGTTAAGATGAAATTTGTATCACCAATTAATTGGAATATTGTAAAATAGTACAATTTGCTGACCAGAATAAAAATTGGGACATATTATTCAGTTACAACAAGAGTGGTATTGAGCCTTTAAGGGAATGTGGGAGCCGTGGTGGCTCAGTGAGTAAGACGCTGGCTTGCTAGCCCGAAGGTCCCAGATTCGCTCCTGGTGTTGATGATAAAGTTACTCTGGTTTTTCTGGCGTGGTTTATCACATGTCAGTGGTGCAGAACGAAGGTCCTGGCAAGGACAGTGTCTAGTAGGTTGTAGCGCTGTCGTCAAAGCAAAATTTCTGCCATGGCTGTCTTCATTAGGCCAGCTGGTGTCAAAAAGTAGGATGCTAAAACCCATTTCTTTTCCTTTTTATACGCCCACATTTAAATGTGGTCGTATATTGTCGTCGCCCCCGTCCGTCCGTCCGTCTGTCCGTCCGGCGGTCTAGAGGCTAAAGTTAATATTCGATTGACTTTAGATTTATACACAGTGTTTAAGGTCTTGAGATGAAGAAGCCTAAAGATTTTCAGCGATTTCTGATAATTACTGCCAGAGTTATGGCCCTTGATCACTTCAAAAAGTCTTGTGGACGCTCTAGAGACCAAAGTTAATATCCTATTCATCTTAAATTTATACACAGTGTTTAAGGTCATGAGACGAAGAAGCCTGTTGATTTTCAGCGATTTCCAATAATTACTGCCAGAGTTATGGCCCTTGATCACTTCAAAATATCTTGTGGACACTCTAGAGGCCAAAGTTAATATCTGATTGGCTTTAAATTCATACACAGTGTTTAAGGTCATGAGACGAAGAAGCCTATTGATTTTTAGCAATTTCCGACAATTACTGCTAGAGTTATGGCCCTTGATCACTTTGAAAAATCTTGTGGACGCTCAAGAGGCCAAAGTTAATATCCGATTGACTTCAAATTTATAATCAGATTTTAGTGTATTATAAATGTTTCATTACCGAAAATTAAAAATATGCGACAACTCTTGTTGACTGCCCGAACGATTTAGCTGCTGTGGGCGTATGTTTCGTTGCCTGGCAACCTATCTTATAGATGTGTAAAACATCTCAGCCTTGAAATAATCTGCCTGTCCAACCTTGTGTGTTTTCTTCGGGTCCTCTGGTTTCCCCACACTGCTAAATACCCCTACACGCAAGTGAATTATTGAAATAAAATTGAACTATATGTTAGTCCCGAAATGGCCTAGTTTGTCTTGAGTGGAGGTTAAACCCGCTCTCTCTCTCTCTTTCTTTCTCTCTCTCTCTGAAATAATTTGTCTGTCATTGACAATGTTACACCCAATTTCAGGCGTTTTCACAATACCTGCTATTATGTCGGGACTCTGGGACAGACTTTTCTGTGTTGTCAGGTGTTTCAGGTGTTGTCACAATACCTGTTATTGTGTCTTGCACAGATTCGTCTCTTTGTTTTGATTTCTGTTCATCAGATTTTATTTTCTGGTATTTTCAGCTGCTGCAACCAGGTTAAAGTTATTATTAAGTTTTGCTGTTGGTGCGTTATTAGGAGATGTGTTTTTACATTTACTGCCTGAAGCATGGGGACATCTTGATAAAGGTTAGTACCGGTATCATTACTTCTTTCACAGAATGAGGGGTAGGGTGGCCATGTGGATAAGGTGCTGGCTAACTAGCCTGGAGGTCGCGTTTTCAATCCCTGCATTGGCCGAGAAATTTCATCGTGATTTTCTGACGTTGTTTCCCCTGCCAGTGGTGCAAGATGGGACGAAAAACCGAGGTCCTGTGTGGCGTGCACATAAAAGATCCCTTGGCAGTTGGAATTCAATATAAGAGTAAGCCATAGAGCCACTGCCCTGGCAAAATTTCCTTCATAGCATACTGTATGGCAAATGCCTGTCTTCATTAGCCCAGTTGAAGCAGAACAGTAGGATGTTAAACCCCATGTATGAGGTTCACCATGGAAAACTTGAGATACACAAACTGGAAGTAAAGACCAATAAACATGCAATTTTCCGACCCCTCGTATCCTTCCACCTCAAAATCCTGAATATTCACCAAAACCTGGCCAAAAATGTATTTTCAAACCCACTTCTTCGATTCTACACCAAAAAGTCAACAAAAATCACCGTGTAAAACAAGGAAATAAAGCAGAGGGAGAGAAAGACTAAAAATAACTTTCGACCTTCATTTGTTTGTGATGGCGTGGGAATATTTAATGAGCTGTGTCCACATGATGAACTATTTTTATGTGGATGAGTTGTCTTACCCTGTTTTACCTTGATCTATTCAGTCAATATATACTCTTCAAAAAAAGTAGGGGATATTGAAATGCAAATACCTATGCAGGTTGTGATATGATAAATAGTCATGGACACTTGACATGCTTTATCCTATCCATGTTTGCTTTCCTATCGGTTCTTGCATAAGATTTACTGTTTAGCGTATCTTTGCTTTAGTGTGTTACGTTTAATTTGATCGAGAGACGTGTTCGTCGACGTCAACGTCAAATGACAACACTGCAAGAATTGGCCGTAGCACTTCAAGAGGAGTGGGTCAGATTGCCCCAAATCATGATTTGACGGTTAATCAGGAGCATGCCACGATGAATTGCTAAATGTCGGAGGATTGGTGTAGCAATTACTTATTATTAAGTCAAAAATCAAAAACGTCCATTTTCACTTTTGACGGTGTATCTCTTTGCGAGTGAAATGGGGCCGTCAGATAAGCCGCCCATATGAACTGTTTATGTTCATGTGTATGAAATTGGCCTGTTATTAACATACACTGGTTACCTCTAATAAAGACAGCAGAGAGAGAGAGAGAAATGAGGTTTAACGTCCACTCGACACAAACCAGGTCATTTCGGGACTAACATATGGTTTTTAATTTTATTTACATAATTCGCTTGCACGTAGGGGTCTTTAGCAGTGGGAGGAAACCGGAGGACCTGGAGAAAACCCACGAGGTTGGACAGGCGACCCTACTCCTTGCCACGTACAACCGGGAATTCGAAACCACGCCAGTCGACTCAATGACAGACTTTATGATACAGCGCGCGCACGCTAACCATTTAGCCATCCAACCCCCCTAAAGACAGCAGTGCGTTTCTGCAGTTTTGTATTGTTTCTGAAGAGTATAGAACCACATAAAATATTCATACACAGTAAAGTGGCTGATAGGTATAAAACATGGATTTGGACCCACCACTTTTTGAAGAGTATATATTCAATTCTTTTTATAGATAGTGGTCCTCAAGCCTATACAAATGTTGGATTATGGGTTATAGCTGGTATTTTAATGTTTTTAATTATTGAAAAAACATTTGGTGAGAAAGATGATGATGATGATGATGATAAGGTTAGTCATTATAGAGTTTTATATGGTGGGGTGGACGAGTGGTCTTAAGTGTGTATTTAGAACATAAGGTCTGTCATTCTGTCAACTGGTGTGGTTTGATTCCCAGGAGTAGGATCGCCTGTCTAACCTCGTGGGTTTTCTCAGAGTTCTCCTCCCACTGTTAAAGAACCTGATGGTATTTAGATTGTAATCTATACCTTCAAAACATTGGACGTATTCTTTGATCTTCAATTGATGTATATGTTTATACTATAATATGAGATAATATTATCATTTATTATCTATTTATTATCTATTGTTTGATGATATTGTCCTCTATTCAACTGATAAACACCTATCTGATTTAAATACAGATCTATATTTCGTTTCATTTTTTTATACTTTTGATGGCCTACACTACATGAAGACCTGACCGGTTGTAGCGATAGGTCGAGTCAGAGGTCATACGAGCGGCTTTTGACCCTATGATGTCAGACATTTGATTAACCAATCAGCATTGATGTTACTAGTGGATTACCCACAGTTCCGTGCAAAACATTCCTAAAGCTCGCTGTAACAGACCATTTCATTGGCTAATTCCTCACATCATCCAGAACGCAGGTTATATAACATGTGTAATATGTGTGTATGCGCAGAAGAACTAATCTTATATCACCCATCCTGGTAGATTAAATTAAACCTCCCTCTCTCTCTCTCTCTCTCACTCTCTCTATCTCTATCTCTATTGTGAGAGAGCCACAGTGGCTAAGTGGGTAAGACGCTGGCTCGCTAGCCTGGAGGTCGCAGGTTCGCTCCCGATGTTGGCCAAGAAAGTTCATCAGGATTTTCCAGTGTGGTTTCCACTTGTCAGTGATGCAAGACTGAGGATCTGACAAGGACATCTGTCTAGTCATTTGGATGGGATGAAAAACCGAGGTCCTGTGTACACAATGGCGTGCATGTAAAGATTCCTTAATTAGAATTGATATAAGACTAAGCAATACTGCCGCAGCCCAAGCAATATTTTCCTCATAGCATGCTGTATGGCATGTGCCCAGTCGGAGCAGAACAGTAGGACGTTAAACCCCATTTCATTTCATTTCTATTTTGTAATAAGTTTTAATGTGTGCTTGTATACTTTTGTTTTCAGGATGATGATGAAGATGAAATAAAAGAAATTCAGGAAAAAGATAAAACGAAACAGATAAATAATAGCCATTCTTCCACAGAAACCTTACGTCAAAGAAATCATTTAGTTAATGATAAAATTATAAAAAATAACATACAAATAATACCTAGAACTAGACAGAGCAGTTTACATAAAATAGAAAAAATCGCTGTAAGTATCAATATTGTCAAAAGTTGGCTGGTATCACTTTTATTTTAAACTTAGTGATCTGCTCTGACTAAAAGAGACACATAGATCAAAAAATCAAAACTGTGCATCAATTTAAATTCTGTGGTCAATGCGCGTCTCTTAACCAGATACTTTTTGTTGGCTTTAGCCAATTGATGCTTAATCTAGCCGATTGGTAAAACAATGAATAGGCCACTATGGTATCATAAATCAGTCTGGGGAGGTCTAATGAGCCCTATTAGGGCGCTTTGTGGCCCTCTAAATGTTAAAGGATTAAATTGGATAGGGCGGTTTGGGGAGGTCTAATGAGCCCTTTTAGGGCACTTTGTGGCGCTGTAAGTGTTAAAGGGCTAAATTGAATGAAACCTTTCTCTATTTGTAGGTTAGTGGTTATTTAAATTTATTAGCCAATGTGATAGATAATTTTACACATGGTCTAGCTGTAGGTGGTAGTTATCTAGTCAGTAAAAAGGTTGGTATTAATAGTTAATTTAACAGGGGTGACAACTCTTTATCCACAGATTCCATACATTATACGAGAGCTAAATCTGCCTATTGCAGGTCTTTCTTTAGACCTGAAATGTTATATAAACTATTAATTAGACATTAATTAACATGAAAAGACCTTAATCAACTTTCGATGCCATCTTATGTGTCAGATTTTCAATGGATTTGAACCTGATCTGCTGCTGAACGCTCATTGATGATTAAATCTAAAAATGAATAATTGAGACAATGTTTTTTATCATACTGACTCTAGTAATGATGATCGCTAATATCTCAGTTCAGAGTGGAGCACTTTGACTGAAATTTTCAGCATATTCCCTTTACATTATCTAGTTTTTAACTATTGTAGTAAGAACTGCCAACTCGTTATCTAATCTTCCATAATGCCCTTTAATAGTTAATTTAGCAGGCGTGGCAACTTCTTATCCACAGAGTAATGTTCCATGTACAAATTAATGGTAAAAACTGGCAAATCCTACTGTCGCCTGCCCCAGACCACATGCCAAACTTGACGTTGCCTTCACACGTACCCCCTGGATAGAGCATCGTTCAGAGGCCATATTATTCATACTAGTGTTGCCAATTAAACAAATCTAGGAAATAACACTGTAATCCTTGTATCATTTAATTTTGTGTATTTAGCACTAATTTCTTTCACATTTGTTTTATGTTAAATCTTTATTTAAAAATTGTTTACAATCACCAAAAATCATCTAATTTATACATGTGTCCAGTTTAAAGCTGAATGATTAATTTTGATAATGAGTGTTCAATTTACAAGTATTTAATTAAGTATTTGTAAATGTGATACTTATTATCAAAATTTTTGGTCACAGTGTATCTATAGTACATAAAAGGTATTTAATACAAATGAAAAAGTAACAAGTTAACAATTTCAAGGGGCATAACTCCATTTTATATGCTATTTATAAGAGAATGACTCTCTAAATTAATGCTTTGTATGAGAATCAGCTTGTGAGGTATATTACCACAGTAATAGTTTGTTTTTCCTGGTCACAGTGTATCTACAGTATGTAAAAGAGATTTAATGCAAATTTAAAAGTAACACTGTCACAATTTCAAGGGATATAACTCCATTTTATATGCTTTGACTCTAAATCAAGGTTAATGCTATGTAAACTCAATATAGGCTACGAGGAATATTACCACTGTAAATTTATTTGTCTCTATTTTTAGGTTGGATTAGTTACAACTTTAGCTATATTATTACATGAAATTCCTCATGAAATTGGTGATTTTGCTATTTTATTAAAATCTGGATTTAATAGATGGAGAGCAGCCAAAGCCCAGGTATGTTTATAAAATGAAAATGAAATGAAATGGGGTTTAACGTCCTACTGTTCTGCTCCTATACTGGGCTAATGAAGACGGGCATACGCCATACAGTGTGCTATGAGGGAAATTTTGCCCTGGCAGCGGCACTATCAAATTCCAACTGCCAAGGGATCTTTTACATGCATTCCAATGTATACACTGGACCTCGGTTTTTCGTCTCATCCGAAGGACTAGACAGCTCTCCTTGTCAGACCCTCCGTTCTGCACCACTGACAAGGGGAAACCAAGTCGGAAAAACTGGATGCAGGGATCGAACACCCGACCTCCAGGCTAGCGACTAAAGTCTTACCAAATTAGTTATTTCATTGAAATAACGTTGAACAAACAAACGTTCAAAGCATTGCCGTTGCTTTAGATTGATCGTGTAAATTATTTATTTCCATCCTATTTAGAGTTTTTTCTGTATGCAAATGAGGTTCGTCGTAGATTCCATATAAGGTATAGGTTCTAATATGCTAAGTTCTATTATGCATTTGTCCATAATGCAAAATGCCAATCTGTTTCACAGAGGATTACAAAAGTCTTCTAATATCTCTGTAAAAGATGACTACCTTCAACACGTGACGTCTCATCACGCGGCGTCAATCATTGGCTGAATGGCACATGCATTGTTTACATAAGACCTTACTGGTTCGGGCGGAATGGAGCCTTTTACTGATTTTAATACCCATTTACACTAAACAGAAAATAATTTTTACCTACAAATACGTCAAACGTCTTTATTTATTTTTCTAATACATAAAAAAAAATGTTTTAGAATTTAATTTGTCGGAGGAAAAAAGTTAATATTTGGGACTCATTAAGTCGCATCGATGTCATCCTTACCAGTGATTGTCACTGCTGATCAGTGTGGCAAAATGCCAAGTGGAGAAGTGTAATGTGCAAAATAATAACTATTATACTGTATTTGTATTATTGAAAATTGTATTCTGTATTTTAACACTGCGACAATGGTATTGTGGAGCAATGGAAATTGCAAATTGTAAAACTAATATACGTATTTTGAACTGCTTGTGTCGAGTGGAGGTTAAACCATATCTCTCTCTCTCTCTGTCTATCTATAGGTCTATGTGTATATTTCAGTTATTAACAGCATCAGGAGGTATTCTTGGAGCTATAACAGCTTTATGTGCAGAAACACCAGAAGCAGCAGGTAATATCTCTACGCCATCTAGGCAAAAAAACAATTCTCGATTCCAGTTATTGTCATATCACTTAAAAAGTGCAAATGACTAGTTCTGATAAAACTCGGCCATCTTCTCCGATTTCCTCACACTGCTAAAGACCCTTAGGCTAGCGCAAGCGAATTATTGAAATAAAAAACGATATGACTATACATCAGTAATTTTTGTCCATAAAAAGTGTGTCCCAATAACTAAATGTTATTCAAAGATTTAATGCCATATTGTTTTGCTAGGTGATAGAACTGCTTGGATTTTACCATTTACATCTGGTGGATTTTTATATATAGCTTTAGTTACTGTAGTACCTGATTTATTACAAGAACGAAAAGGCCGGTAAGTATATACTTAACTATCGGAACTTCACAAACAAACGTAGTATAAAGCCAAGGTATTCACAGGTGTTGAAGCTGTGGTGGGTCAGTGAGTAAGACGTTGGATTGCTAACCTGGATGTCCCTTGTTCGATCCTGGTATTGGACGAGAAAGTTCATTGGGATTTTGGGGGGTTGGATAGCCGAATGGTTAGCACATGCGCGCTGCTCTGTATCATACGGTTTGTCATTGAGTTGTACGTGACAAGGAATAGGGTCGCTTGTCCAACCTGATGGGTTTTCTCCAGGCCCTCCGGTTTCCTCCCACTGCTAAAGACCCCTACGCGCAAGCGAATTATTGAAATGACCTAGTCTGTGTCGAGTGGACGTTAAACCCCATCTCTCTCTATCTCTCATTGGGATTTTCCGGAGTGGTTCCCCCTTGTCAGTGGTGCAGGATGGAGGTTCTGTAAAGGGACAACGTATGCATGTAAAAACAACCATTGACAGTTGGAAATCGAAAGCAAAATTTCACTCATAGCACACTGTATGGCGTATGCCCATCTTCATTAGCCCAGTCGGAGCAGAACAGTAGGACGTTAAACCCCATTTCATTTTAATTTTATTTATACACCCATATTGAAATCGGTTGTAAACTGTCATCGCCCCATCCAACCATCACCTACTATTAGCTAAAACTATCATTCGTTTAACTTAAAATTCATACGCATAGTGTTTATACACTAGATTTTCAATGATTTTCGATAAATAATGTCATAGTTATTGCCCTTGATCAGTTTACCTCCCTGTTTAGCTGCATTCATAAACTTTTATCCATCTTCCATCGTCCGGGGGGGGATTGGATGGCCAAATGATTAGCGCTTGTGCGCGATGCATCATAAGGTTTGTCATTGAGTTAACTGGTGTGGTTTTAATTTCTTGGTTGCACATGACAAGGAGAAGGGTCACCTGTCTAACCTCATGGGTTTTCTCCGGGTCTTCCGGTTTCCTCCCACTGCTAAAGACCCCTACGCACAAGCGAATTATTGTAATAAAAGTGAACCATGTTAGTCCCAAAATGACGTTAGACCTCCCTCTCTCTCTCTCTCTCTCTCTCTCTCTCTCTCTCCCATGATTTTAGTTGTAAATTAAATTATCCATATTAATCTCTTTTTTTCAGAGAATCATTAAAGCAAGTTATTAGCCTCATCTGTGGAGTGTCATCAATGGTGATGGTTACCTATCTATTTGATTAGTAAACTAGTGCTGAATTAGTCCTGAATGATGCCAGAGTTAAAACCACAAAGATATGTTGAAAACTCGTTCATCAAGGCATTTCTTAACAGACATTAATTTTTTTAATGCATTTAAAGAATGTAACAGATGCCCCTCCCCCTCCTCAATCCCCCTAAAAAAAACATTAATATCCAATATCATTGCCATATTTGGGGTTAGGGGAGAGGTCTCTTTAACGCCCTTGTTTCGTTCAGACATCAACCACATACCCAATAGTGCAATTAACTGATCACCATTTTAAACCACATGGTGATATGCTGCCCCCTCCCGTCCCAACCCAGCCTTCCATTCTGTGGGAAAATGATGAATATGCCCTTGTTTAATGTATCTTGTTCTTAAGTAACTCTACTTTCATTTTCCTAATTTATCATGAAAGTGCTTAAATATGGTTGGCTGGTAAAAAAAACCCCAGGTATGGCCACACTGATTTGATTTTCTGATCTTCAGGAACACCTGTGAAAAATGATCCTCTTCAGGTAAAAGACTAATTTAAAACCAAAGGTACTCGGTTGCATTGTTTAAAAGCTTTTAGTTTCAAATTATTAATTTTTGAAATTTCAAACAAAACATCTTTCACATGATTCAAGTGGCTATTTATGTATCAAGGCCACGAAGATAAAAAAATCAAATTGGTTTGGCCTAAATACTGGTAAAAGTACAAAGTTTGTCCTCCGTTTTGTGGTCATAACTAGTAAAAATTCTATTTAATGGTAGACGATTGAATTGTTCATATTTTGTTTCTATGATAATGCTGCAGAAATATATGAAAATGCAGAGACGTACAGAAAGGGTAAAGAAAAATGCTATATTGGCATTTTGACTGTTATTTCTTCTTTTTTTTAACCGTTTATGGGAAAACCTCCAATATCCAACCATAATAAGTGCTATTGGTATTTTTTATTTTCATGCGATGTTCATTCTAAATAACCATAAGTTTGTTTTTACAAATTCTTCATTTTAAAGTCTGTATTTTTGTTGATTGTCTTTATTGTTTCTAACTATTGTTTTTTTTTTTTTGTTGTTGTTTTCTTTTTAGAAATTATTATTTAATACCCACAGCATCATTCAGGCGTATCTTGAATCATATAAATTTTTCATATATTCTTAGTGTTCTATATCACTGAATCTTTAGACCATGGGCCTCTTGTTTTCATTTAGCCACTGTGATTTTCAGTCGATACCAAGAAAAAATTATATTTTCCTGCCGTAACGTTAGCTTTTTCCCAGATTTTTTTAGGAAAGTAAACAAAAGGATTAAACATCTAACTCATGGATGTTGTTTTGCTGATATATGTCGGACATGTCCTATGCAGGTAGGGAAACGTCCGACCAGGAATATGCCCTATTGGACATCAAGATTAAAACACAGATCCTGTTTCGTTTTTTATAGTTCAAAATTTTGTTTTACTTGTTTTTATTACACTAGGATCTGGAAGAGTTGTTATATAACCCGCCTTTTGGATGATGTGAGGGATTAGCCAATGAAACGGTCTGTTACGGCGACTTTTCAGCGTAACCCCCTAGAAACATCAGTGCTTATTGGTTAACAATGATCTGATGTCATAGAGTCAAAAGTTGCTCGTACTACCCCTGACATGACCTTCCATTACAACCAGTCAGATCTTCATGTAGTAGAGGCCACCCTGCTTATTGATAACATGAAAAACATGTTAGATTAAATGGTTGTTGTGTATCTACAGTTATACCCCGACCCCCAATCCCGCCATCCCCCCAGTAAGTGCAATTAAATTTTTATCTTGTTTTTATAGATGTTTATTTATTGATAAACTCGTGTTCATATTAGTATTGATTTAAGATATTATGGTGCTTACCTAGTGCAAATAGAGTGTTTTATTTTTTGAAAATAGTTTGTACGTATGTTGGAACGCTTGGCATTCTGTTAAAGAATCCGATATTATGGTGCTGTGCTGGTGAAAAATATATTGTTTTATAAGAGTTATACTGCTTTACATGTAAGCTTGTATTAGTTTTGCAATGGTGGACGAGGCTAAGATATTTTTATATGGTTTAAACATGAGTTTGGTGTTGTTTTTGTGAAATTGTATGTCGTTTTAGTTATGTCACTTGAAGACAAATGTTCTTTAACAGAGAGGCGCGTTAGATGACCGATTCATATAATGCTTGCCCTTTTAAGTCAACTGACGCGGTTCCCTTCTACTGCTAAAGGCCCCATCGTGCAGACGATTTATTGAAATAAAATTGAACCATATGTTAGTCCCGAAAGATGTATGTGTTGAGTGGATGTTAAACTCACTTTTTTCGCTCTTAATCCAATTAATAAGAGGCCCATCAAAAATTTTCATCAAAAATTACAAATGGTACTGTCTTAGTTTGACCACATCTTACTGTGGATGCCCAGTGTTGAAACTTTTTCTTCCGTTCATCCTATTTGTCATTCTCGGTATCCCAAGTGGCATCATTCCATTCTACTCCACTAAGCCCTGGGTCCATTCACAGGGTTTTCACAAATTCAAATTATCTGCCCTTGGTCGTAGGTTGATTCTACTAACCAATCAAAAAAACAGTTTACATACCAGTCTTAGCGTCACTGTTTACTAATATAATCTTAGTTGCAATAAAATGAGAGTTACTTCCCCTTCCCCGAAATGATTGGTCGATAAAAATAGCACAAGTATCAAGGGCAGACAATTTGACTGTGTCTTCCCCATGAATTGACCCAGGGTTTAGTGGAGATGATTCGAGCGATACCACTTGGGATACCAAGGAGGCATATTTGCGTAAATGAATGGAATTCAACGTTTTTTGACTGATATTCTTAACAATATTGAAATTTGCAAAATGAGTTGGAAATCGTGCAAATCGTTTATGATACGAACAAAAATGTTAAAGTAGGTTAAAAATACCTTTTTACGATACAGTAATTTTAAAATAGGCTAAAAACATCTTTTTAATGATTTAACATGCAAGCTAACAGTTTAAATTTAAATAAAGCAAACTAAATTATTTTATATTTTTAGCCTATTTTGACATTTTTGTTCATCTATTTCTAAATAATAATTTGTGACTCAATTTGCGATCACGGATCACATTAGCCAAATCATTCGGCCGAATCAATCGGCATCGAAATTCACCTAGTGTGTCCACTGACAAATGATTCGGCCCAAATCAAACATGATTGATATATTTGGCCGAATATATTCGCCTAGTGTGTCTGCTTTGCCGAAGCATTCACCCAATTGTAGAATTCATAAGCCAATCACCGCTGATATTGAAAAGTCATGTGATTGTTTGACGACATGTTCGCCGCCAAGTTTAATCATGTGACGTGAAAGGTGATTCAATCGACTGGTGAATCGGGCGAAGGATCCTAGTGTGTCCACCCATTCAGCCGAATAGAATTTGACCGAATGATTTGGCTAATCTGTCCACCGCTTTAGAAAGATGTTTCATTTAATGTTTTTTATGTTTAATGAATGTTATGACATACATGTATATTATATAAACCTAAAAACAACGCACAACCCAGTCTCCTAATTTACCTTCTTATTCAATCTTAGAAATTAATTGGGATCTAATCAAAGACCCTTGTTATTTGGATGGGTGGGGGGGGCATCTCCAATCTGATTAAAACACAGATCCTATTTCGTTTCATTTTTTATAGTTCGAAATTTCATTTTACTTGTCTTTACTACACTAGAATCTGGAAGAGTTGTTATATAACCTGCGTTCTGGTTGATGTGAGCGATTAGCCAATGCAATGGTCTGTTATGGCATGTTTTTGGTGTGAGGTGCACAGAACTGTGTGTAACCCACTAAAAACATCAACGCTGATATGTCTGACATCATAGGGTCAAAAGCCGCTCATATGACCTCTGACGTGACCTTCCACTACAACCGGTCAGCTCTTCATGTAGTGTAGGCCATCGAAAATATAAAAAAAACGAAATGAAAAATAAATCTGTATTTTAATCAGGTTGTGGCATCTGGGGCAGTTTTGGGATGATCCTTCATCTTGATCATTTTAATTTATCTTTTTTTCTTCACATATACTATGGGTATTCCATAAAACCATCATTTGTTAGGTTTTATTTTTAAACAGGCCTGGAAATATCGGTTTTACATGTACCTGACAAAATGTCAGGCTCTAATGAAATAGTACCTGAAATTTTCAACTTAGTGTCGGACATGCATTAATAATATCAATAAATCAGTTCCGGACAAAATGACAGGCACCAGAAGTTTTGTACCTGACAAAGCCTGAATCTGTGCCTGACATTGTCAGTGACAGGTGCCTTATTTCCAGGCTTGTTTTTAAAGATGCATGATGTAAGATTTAGATAAAGAGATGGCAGTTCTTGCTATAAGGGTATTTCATAAAACCATCATTGCAAAAAAACTTACTCATCAAGAATTAAGATTTAATCGTTTGTTGGGTTTTTATTTTTAAAGATGCATTATGTAACATTTAGATAAAGGAGCTGGCCGTTCTTGTTATAATGGTTTCAAAATAGAAGTTATGGCTAAGCGTTGATTGTTAAATTTTTAAATCTCACAAGTGTTCAAATCCATTTAATTCTTGGTCATCCGATGATCTAGAGAGTTGATTATAATAAGCTTTTCATGTGAGTAAATGTCTAAATAATAGTTTATATAACATTTTAGGTCAAAAGAAAGACTTGCAATGAGAAGATGCATCTTTAATAGAGAACCAGCATTTTCAAATCATGTCCAAAAGATCATGTAATACATAAATGAAACACAGTTTACAAACATTTCATTTAAACATACATTATGTAAGAGCTAAATCTACCTATTGCAGGTCTTTCTTTATGCCTTAAACATTATATAGATTATTGATTAGACATTAATTAACAATCGATGCCTTCGGATCGCTACAATATTAAGTAGATTTAAATACGTTTTGCGATTGGTTACTATAAAAATGGATAATCAAAACTTAATTATTAATTAGACATTAATTAACAATCGATGCCTTCGGATCGCTACGATATTAAGTAGATTTAAATACGTTTTGCGATTGGTTACTATAAAAATGGATAATCAAAACTTTGTTTATTATTGTAACAATTGTAGCAATGACAATCAAGGCTACACTGTTCTTGTAACGGCAATAACTCGGCTCAGAGTGACGTAATTTGACTGGAATTTTCAACATATTCCCTTCTCATTATCTATTTTTTAAACTATTATTGTGAGAACTGTCAGCTCTTTATCTAATCTTCCATAATGCCACTTTATTCTCTCATTCATAATCTATCGTGAAGTTGTCTCACACTGTGACCAAGACGAATGTTTATTTTGTTTTAGTTGAAATATTTTGAGTATATGAATGTTATTGTTTATTTTTATTATGTTACAACAAGAAAATACTCATTCAGTGATTATTTTGATTAAAATACAGATGTGACATCCAATCTGATTAAAACACAGATCCTATTTCGTTTTTTATAGTTCAAAATTTCATTTTACTTGTTTTTACTACACTAGGATCTGGAAGAGTTCTGGATGATGTGGGGATTAGCCAATGAAACAGTCTGTTACGGCGTGAGCTGCACGAAATGTGGGCAACCTACTAGAAACGTCAACGCTGATTGATTTATCAAATGTCTGATGTCATAGGGTCAAAAGCTGTTGGTATTGACCTCTGATGCGACCTTCCACTACAACTGGTCAGATCTTCATGTAGTAGAGGCTATCGAAAGTATAAAAAAGCGAAACGAAATATAGATCTGTATTAATCAGAATAATGTGACGTCATACTTTGATATTAAGTACCATTATTTCAAATAATGTATGGTGAATGTGTCAATCGTACATTAGCTATAAGAGATGAAATATTGAACTACTGTGAGGATTTCATTGAAATACACGTTCTGGATAATTTCTGTATTTCAAGTCGTTTAATGGTCTCAAGCAAGACATTGTGTAATAATTATATTGA